CTCATCGGAGAGGCGGATCTCGAAGGGCTTGTCATCCTCCTATGTAGCGTTAACAACAGATTCGAACGTCAGTCTGTTCAGCGGCAACGCCCGTACCTTTGGAACAGCCTCCCGGTCTGCGTGTGATGATGCCGCATCCGTGGTGACGGCCCGGAAAGCAGGTCGCGCGGCGGGAGCAAAAGCATTGCGCCGGAGCGGCGATGCAATGCTCCTCCTAATTGCGCGCGAGAGCATCCTGGCAAATGGCACGAGGACAAGAAACCGGAGATGGGAAGAGGTAAGGGTGGGAAAGAGCGTGGTGGGAGAAAGTCAGCAAGGTGTTGAAGCTCTTCGGCCGCTCGAACTTTGTCGGCGCCCCAAAACCCGATCCCTACCCGTCCCTCCCCTTCCGTTCGTACCCGATCATGAACCCACTTCAGGCCGGGAAGGACTTGCATGTACTCGTCTTTTAAACGAATCTTAATTCACTTTGTATTTGTAAATGTACTTGTGCTAAAGTTCTGGGTTTATTGCGGATCACGTGATATGCAGTGCTACGAATGCTTCGATCTATGGATGGGGTACGGCGCTAGCTATCATACAGTTGAAGTACAGATTCTCCATTGATCCTACGCCGCCTGCAGATACTTCGCCTGTCCCGCAAAGAACTCCTTCTGTGCCAGACATCGCTCACTCACGCAGCCGGGACAGCGTAAAGGCATCTGCGCGCTGCATGCCTGTCCACTCTGCAAATGAGCCTTTGCGAGATCGGCCAGGGCTTTGATGAAAATCGGGTTTCCGTTTAGACTCTCCACCCGTTTTACGCCTTCGTGGCCCTCGGCGTCTTCTCCAATCACTTCTTTGTCCAACTCGTAGAGGGTTTCGATGTGATCGCTCGTAAAGGCTATGGGAATAAGAACCATGTCCGTTTGGCCCTTCTTCATCAAATTCTTGACGGTATCAGACGTCTGCGCGCCCAGCCAGGGCGTCGGTCCGACCTGTGATTGCCAGACGAGACGATACTGGTTTTTCATGCCAAGCCGTTGCATAACAGCGTACACAGTCGCGGCTACTTCAGCGGGATACGGGTCGCCACGGTTAACCACACTCATAGGCAAACTGTGTGCAGAGAATAGCAGGATGACGCCGTCTCTCCGCTCTGCAGGATACTCTGCTAACGTCTTCTCGATGTTCTGCGCAAATGCTTCGACAAGTCCCGAATGGACTGGCCATCGGTCGATGACACTCCACTGAATAGCACCTTCGGGCTCAACTTCAGCTTCCCCACCCGCTCGTTTCCCTTCTAGCCTGTTCCGCCACTTCCACAGCTCATTCAGCGACGAGCCTGTTGTTGAACACGAGTATTGCGGATACTGGGTGAAAGCGACGGCCCTGCCACCATTTCCACCTCCAAAGCCGTCGGCCAGCAACTGCTTATACATATCTTCTGTCAATGGATTGGCGTACCGGAAAGCAACGTAGGGCTTGTGCGGTGCGGTGTCGGGCGATGTCTTGTCCAGCAGCTTGCACATCTCCGCAGCTTGGTATTCGGACCATTTCCGAATAGGTGAGCCGCCGCCGATTTCCGCATACTGCTTCTGAATCTTGGGGGTACGCCGGCGCGCTATAAGAGGTCCGATGTAGTTTTGAAGCCGCCCGAGTGGGATCAGATCGGCATCGGCCTGGAAGGGTCAGTTGGCAGCTTCGTAGTTTATGTAGCAGTACCTACAAACAATGCGCTCAGGAAGGAGCCCACTTCATCGGTCGTCGAAGGCCCTCCCATGTTCATAAAGACAATTGCAGTGGGTCCTTTTGAGCCGGCACCATTCTGCGGCGCTGGAGGGGCAACAGTGGCATTGTTTCGCGTCCATCGCAGTGCGAGGGGTGAGATGGCGCGGGCAGAGGGACCGGACGTCGTGGCACGCGTGCATGCGCGGGATAAGGGTACGCGCAGTGCCATGGATCACAATTGGAGGAAGTGGAGGTGGAGTGGAGAGCAGCGTTTACTTGTCGGTGGCCATTCCAAGGTAGAGGAGGAAGGAAAGTGGCAGCGGCGACCACTCTGCGACTACCTAATGGAGACTGCTAGCAGCCAATGGCAAACCCGACAAAACGGGTGATGACGACCGCTCGTCGGTGTCGGCATTTGCGCAAAGCAAACCCGGGCCGAGTGCTGGTGCGTCACGTGCACACGCGCGCCCCGGGGCCGCTGCTGCCTTCCCCGCGCCGCAGCTACACTTCACGCCCACCACGACGCTTCGTTGCGAAACCCATTGACAACGTCCCAGAGCGATTACAGCCCGCAGAACGCCTTCGATTCCGCAACTTTACGACTTCCGCGCCACCATCGAACTCTCCGAGCGCATTCCAGTCGGCCGCAATCTCATTGCACGCAGGCGCGCGCAGGCTCCGCTTCCAGACCATGGCAGACCCGCAGGACAACCGGCCTGGTGAAGAAGAAGACGAAGAAGAGGAGATTGATGACTCGGTACGCCATTGGGAGCGACTGGCGTAGTGCCGACTGACATCTTTGCAGAGTTACAAAACAATCAAGGATGCTGTCCTGTTCGCCATCGACGTCAGCCCGACGATGCTGGAGCGGCCGCCGCTCTCAGATGACAAGAAAGCCGACCGCGACTCGCCTACAACTGCCGCCCTCAAATGCGCATACCAATTGATGCAGCAGCGCATCATCTCGAACCCCAATGACATGATGGGCATCCTGCTGTTCGGGACCGAGAAGACAGATCTGAAGGAAGGCGATAGCACCTTCCAGCACTGCTATCTTCTCTCTGACCTGGATGTGCCATCGGCTCAGGATGTCAAACGATTGCGCGACCTTGTGGAGAACGAGGACGAAGCGGAAGAGCTGCTGAAACCTACAAAGGACGGCGCGAGCATAGCCACGGTGCTGTTCTGCGCCAACCAGATCTTCACCACAAAAGCCCCGAACTTCTCGTCAAGACGGCTGTTTTTGGTGACAGACAACGACCACCCAGCCAAGGCCAAGCACGACAAAGATACTGCCATCACTAGGGCTCGGGATTTGTACGACCTTGGCTGCACCATCGATCTCTTCCCCATCTCGAGAACTGATCATGGCTTCGATCGGTCGAAGTTCTACGACGATCTCGTCTATCCGTCGTCTCCCTCTGACCCAGATGCGCCGGTAACTGTGACGACAGCGACCAAGATAGCAAAGAGCGGTGACGGCATAACGCTTCTTAAGCAGCTTCTATCATCCATTAACTCTAAAGCGGCGCCACGGCGAGCTCTGTTCAGTCTGCCCCTCGAGATCGGACCGGGGATGCGCATCGGCGTCAAGGGTTACATCCTTATCAAGCGTCAGGAACACGTCAAGTCTTGTTACGTCTGGGTTGGTGGTGAGAAGGCACAGATTGTCACCAGCTCGACATCACATATGGCCGATGATACCGCGCGCATAGTGGAGAAGACCGAGCTCAGAAAAGCTTACAAGTTTGGTGGGGACACCATCACATTCACCCCTGAGGAGTTTGTACAGATACGGCAGTGCTTTGGTGAGCCTATTATTCGCATTTTGGGCTTCAAACCTGTGTCACTCCTCCCACTCTGGGCGAACACCAACAAAGCGACCTTCATATATCCCTCCGAGACAGATTTCATAGGTTCAACGCGTGTCTTTTCTGCACTCCAGCAGAAACTTATCAAGAGCAAGAAGATGGCATTAGCGTGGTTCATCGCCCGTCGGAATGCAGCACCCGTTATTGTGGCCGTTATTTCAGGTGAAGAGAAACTAGATGACAACGGTGAACAGACAATGCCTCCAGGATTATGGCTTGTTCCCCTTCCCTTCGCCGACGATATAAGGCAGTGCCCCGAGCAAATCGATCACTTGCGGACAACAGAAGAATTGACTGATGTCATGCGAAAAGTCGTCGAGCAGTTACAACTCCCGAAAGGTGTCTATGACCCTGAAAAATATCCGAACCCTGATCTGCAATGGTTCTACCGCATACTTCAGGCCATGGCGCTCGAAGAAGAAGTACCAGACATGGCCGATGATAAAACTCTTCCAAAGTACAAGCAAATCGACAAAGTAGGCCAAACCCTCCCATCTATGTAATTGTTGATACTAACTCTGATTCAGCGCGTTGCACCTTTCCTAGAAGACTTCGGCCAGGATTTCGACGCAGAGTACAAGCTCCAAGTTCGCAACCAGCCATCAATGTCGCTTCCCACAGGGCGAAAACGTCCAGCAGCGTCCGCGAACGAGGAGACAGATAGCAAGCCAGCGAAACGGGCCAAAGTCAAGAAAGAGGTAAAGGCTGAAGACGGCGATGAGGACGAGGGTGGTATGACCGACCAGCAAATGGCTGAGGTCAATAACAAGGGGAATATCAGCAAGCAAGTCGTAGCAACGTTGAAGGACTTTCTGAAGGCTAGGGGGCTGCCCACCACGGGAAAGAAAGTAGACCTTGTTGGCAGGGTGCAGGAGTATCTCGAAGAGAAAGGATTATGATCTGAAATGGTGATGAGCACTGGACTGTGGTCAAGTGTCAGTCGTTGCGTTTGGGGTTAATGATCTTCTGCGCATAGTAGAGCGTGGTTCTTTCCAACCTCTTTTGGTCCTGGGTAGAAGGAGTAATGACCATATGAAATCAATGCTAGCGGATGTCTGACTTTCGCTCAATATCAGAAGTAAATAAACTACGGTACCAACGTCAGGCGCTCTGGATGTGTTTCTACCACTGTGACGGTCTACAGTTTTTTTTACAGTTTTGTAGTGCTGTCGCTTTTTATTGAAATATGAAATCCACTTAGTCAGTCCTGGAGCACGAAATTGGGTCCGCGGGGGCCTTTCGAACGCATGCTAATACAGTACTGCATCTTCAAGCTTGCAGCCTTTGTATGTGATAAAAGTGGTTATAAGATTGTTCAAAAAATCCCAAAAAAATCAAACCATAGCTAAGCTATCCCACACACGAGCTCAACCCACAACCACCACATCACCAAAAATATTCGATCAATTCAACAAAAGTTAGTCCCACTGGGGATCGAACCCAGGACCTTTCGCGCACTGAAGTGTGAGGCGAACGTGATAGCCGCTACACCATAGGACTGGAGGAGATATTGTTGTTCATTTGAAAATTTTGGAACCTAATAAATATATAATGACTGGCCCAAATCTACTCAATTAATTCTACGAGCTTGACGCCTCATCCGTCAGCAAGTAAGAGCAGGGCATGTAATAATTAGGCTCTGTTTGTGTGGTGCACGAAATTCTGCGAGCGGCAAGCGAGAGTAGCGAGAAGAATTTTCTCTCTGCTCTACTCGTTCTACGCACTTGCTCGCTTTCGCTCGCTAGTGCTCCTAGGCTCAATAATCAAACCAAGCTCAATAATCAAATTGCCAAGTCTTGCTAATATCTTTTTAGCCTAACGTAATCCACTACCGAGAGCGACAAACCACCGAGAGCGACAAAATCTGCCAAGGCTGCTACTCTTCTTATTATCTTGTTATGCCTCAACTAAACAACGCGTTATTACAGCAAAACGAAAAGAGGCTTTAGATTGCCCTTGCAGCCTTTTAAGCTAGCCAATTTTAAAGCTATTAAGCTGCTGCTGCTGCTTTTAACGTTAATTACTATACTCTTTTTAAACGCGCTAAAGAAACTCTATTTTGCTTTAAATTACTTGCTAACGGCTATAAGCTTACAGCAACTAAAGAGCAAACAATTGTTTGATATATACTTAACTTCGATTCGCGAGAATTCGCGCCTCGGCTATGTAAAGTAGTAGATATAGCTAATAAAGTGCTAAGTGTGCGCAGTAGAAAGCTAGTTGGCAAATACTAGGCTAAGAGATTTGTAACGCGTTTAGATTAGCTTAAAATAGCGTTCAACTAAGCTAAAAATAGGCAAAGAATACTTCAAAAGAATCTAGAGATAATTAGCGCGTAGTTCAAGCTAGTAGAGAATACTAAAGCTAAGTACGGCGTTTACAACGACGACGTGCACAACTTTAACAAAACTAGCTTTTAGATAAGCGTAATTAGCTTTATAAAAGTCGTTACAAGCTTTTAAAAACGTACTCAACCTAATTTTATCTAGCTAAACAATCGAAAGTAGGTAATAGTTATCTAGAGCATTTGCGCCGCAAAGTACGCAATCTCGCTGTTTATTATTTACAAAAAGCGCGTTTACATCTTAGCATAGTACAAAAAGAACTTTATACTTAGCAATTAGAAGCTTTTAGTTTCTAAAAACAGCTAGACAAACAACGCTTTTAGTTTTAAATAGTTAAAGCACTTTAACGCGCATACAAAAGCGCGTTAGAAAGAAAGTATTAGCTACTTATTTTAGACAGCTATAAAAGCTACTAATTTTAGAATTTTAAAAACTATTGCTTTAAAAACAAGATTTTTACGCTTTGCATGCTAGCTTATTTATTTTATATTCTTTAGCTGCTAGATGTAGTTTGCTTTTCGCTGCTAAAGCTAAAGTACTCTTAACGCATTTGAGACTTAGCGCGCTAGCGCGTTTTTTATATTAACAAAAAAAGCTTTTTGCTAGCCTTTAAAAGCGTGTTTTTTAAAGTGTTTACAACAAAGAACTGCAAAAAAGCTTTTAAAGTTTTAACGCTAGTTTCTATTAACGCGCAGGTAGTTTTTAATTGTTTTAAAGTACAGCTGTGTACTATACTACTACTTTTCGCACTAGAAACGCCGTAGCAGTTAAAAACTCTAAGCAATACGCTTAAATTTAAATCGCAATTAAAGCTAGTACGCGATTTTATTACTAGATCGCTAACTTTAGCGCAAAGCAGCTTCTTTTAGCTTGTAAAAGAAGCTAAATTAATGCTGCATTAGAACGCGCTCAAGGACTACTATATTAAAAAGCTTTGAAAATTAATTAGCAAAGATAACCAAGCGGAAATTGCGCAAACAAAAGCGAATTTAGATAGGTAACGTAATTTACTACTAAGTAAAACAGTTTCTGCTAAGAACTTCTACTTTTTTATCAACGCAACATGTTTCAACAACAAAACGCGCAATTATCTAACTAAAAAAGCAAAATTTAGCTTGCTCTTTCTGCTTATAATTACGCTAGCGAATAAGTAGAAAGTACTTATTGTTAGGTATAAGTTAAGTTAGAGTTGCATAGACCTAGAGTTAAAGTTAGGTTAGAGTAATTAAAGCGTAGGTTAAAGTTGAGTTATAGGTACTACTTTTAGGTTAATAAACTTATTATAACTAGCTGTTATAATTATAAAAAGAAAATATATTAAAATATAAAATTGTAGAGGTCTATGCTAACCTAACTTATATCTACGCTAAAACGTTTTAGCGTATAGGCTAGCGAATAGGTAGAAGTTGAGTTAAAGTTAAGTTGCTTTTTTTATAACTCTAACCTAACTTTACTTATATACTCAATCTTTTAACGCTAGTACAAGGTTATAGTTGAGTTGAGTTGCATAAACTTTAGGTTAAAGTTAAGTTATCTCGCACAGGCTCTAGGTTATAGTTAGGTTATAGTTAAGTTGTTATATTTAGAGTTTACATGTTGTATTTTAACGTTAGCAAAGTACAAGTTGCTTAAGTTTATTACAGATTGTTATTACAGCGTAGAATTAGTTGCATTTTAATAGCTAAGTACAAAGCAACGTCTACGCTAGGTATTACTAAAAAATTTAAAATTATTATAGCTTTATACTGCTAGAACAAGTAGCAACTAGACTTTAGCTTTTATATTTGCTGCGAACTTTTTTTGTACTTCTTGTAGTATCTTTGTGCTAGATTTATGTTTCTTGTGTTAATCGTTACTTATTTCGCGTGTATAGCGTTAATATTAGTATTTGTTAAAGTTAGCTTTGCACCTAGCAACAAGTAGAAAGCTATACTTTCGAAAATGCTAATTAGAAAAGCCTTTGTTACTTTTTGTATAGCTTTAATTGCACTAGCTTGAAAGCGTAGATTAGGCTTAAACTCTTGCGCAATTTTGCAAACTAGCTAACTAAATAGCAGTTTGCGCATAAAGAGCTTAGTTGATTTTTAGTATCGTTGAATTTTGCGCAACGCAATAGCTACATGTTGTTAAAGACAAAGCTGCAATTAACTACTGTAATAACTTACTTTTTTGCTTTTAGCAGTAAAGCTTCTTTATACTACTTGTTGTTAGTTTTTTCTTGTTCTTGTACAAATTGCTAGGTTTGCGAGCTGCTTTTGCTGCAAAAAGCTTTTGCAAAACTTTGCCGCTAGTAGCAAAGTAGTAGTAGTTAGTTTGCTTAGTGCAAGCTATCGCAGAAAAATTAATGCGTAATAGGTGTAGTGTAGAGAGTAGAAAGTTGTAATAATTATTCGTAATAATTATAGTAGGTAAAGAAGCTGTAGAAGCTGTAGCAAAAGTGCGTATTTTAAGTAGCTAGTAGTAAAGCGCTAGCTAAAGCTGCAGCTTTTGTAGCAGCGCACAAGCTACTCTACACAGAATTTAGCTTGTAAATTCGCTACCTAACTTTTTGCTACTCTACTTTCTACTTCTACCTACCTACGTACTACAACTAGCTTTATTATTACCTACATTTATTACAAATACAATAGCCGCAATTAAGCAGAAACTTAACAACGAGATAAACTACGAGCTTGATAATAAGTTGCTTTCGCTTTACGAAATTGAGATTTCGACTAGGTTTAAGCTAGCAAAGTAGAAAGCGCTTACAAATGTAATTATTACAAAAGTTTATTATAGCATCTGCTAACAAACTTAGAGCTTTGAGTTTAAAAAGCACGAAGTCTTTAGCGTACTAGCAAATCGCAGTTGCGTTGAATTACGAAAAAAGCGCTTTACACATTACAAGCTACTATCTAAGAGTTAATTAAGCAATACTACCTGCGCAACTGCTTAGAGAAATTAAACAGCTTACCTAAATGCTAAAAAAAAAGCTATTGCAAATGCTAGTGCAAAAGATTAGCAAGCAAAATACTAGCTTAAGAAAAAGCTTAAGGCGAAAGAGAAGTTTACTGCGTTGTTTGCGCACGACTAGAAAAAGTAGTTAGCAACTAAACTTAAGCTTTTAGATAAGCAACGCTACTGCGCACAGAAAAGCAGTAAGTTATTATATTAGTTTATTACGTTATTGTACTTACAATACGCAATTAAGTAGCTTTAAGCAAAACTTAGCCTTGCCTATAAAAAGTAGGCTTGTATTTATTACAATGTTAACTTTCGACAGCACAAAAACATTCTTGAACAAATTACCAAAGCACTAGAAAACAAGAAGAAAATTAAGAATTAGCTAATGTCGCGAATATTTAGCGCTAGCGAGGCTACTAATAGAATTATGCAACGTATCTACTTAGACAAATTAGCTAAGTTAAAGAATAATTCGTTTAAAAACGAGAAAGCTAAAATAAATTGGCAAGAGTTTGTAAAGACGTTAACTCTAGAGAATCTAACACTAGTAACTACTAAAGACTAGAAGTAAGTTATTACAGTAGTTTATTACATACTTATACTAACTGCACTAGCTTACGCGAGCTTACGCTTTCTTTTAAACTACGCGTTAATAGCAACGATGCTTATGAAAATATCAACAGCTCGTATATTTCAGCGCCTACTAAAAGAGGATCGCCTAGGAAAGCAAGTTCTAGATAAAGAATGTAATGAATTCGATAGAGTCTATCTACAGCGCGGACAAAAGAGCTCTATATACTTTATAGTTAGTTAGCTTTCAAATTACCTGCGGAGCGCTTTTGAAGGCTATGTAAAAACCTAATACCGCAAGGCCTTCGTTAACTAGAAACTAGTAGAGCTTTTTTAGGTATCGTCGAAGCTGTTACGTACAGCGTTAATAGCTACTAAAGTTCTACGACCAAAGCAATTTATAGAGCTTTTAGCCTATTACATAAGCTTTTTCTTTAATCTGTAGCAATTTACTTACTTCGCTAGCGTCCTAGCGTTCTTTCTAAAGGCGTGCCGTTTTGAAAGTTTTTTAGCAATTTTCCATCGGCGTTCTAGTAAGCTGCTAAAAATTCTTGCTAAGTAGATAAAGCTTTTGTGTTTTCGAGTTCTAGCGCTAGTTCTTATGTAAGCTAGTTATAGCTAGTCTATTTAACCTAATATTCT